AGCCACGTTGACTACCTTTCTAAAAAAGGGCCTGTATTATTTTTATTTTCTTACATTAGGCCTAGGTATGGCTTTCTGAAGCAGCTGGCACCAAGACATTCCCATCAGATAACTCAATCATCTCATCTGTTGCTCTTCAATAAACTGCACTGACTGACTGACGATCAACCCCACCAGGACATCACACCGGGCGATAAACACCCGGCGACACAAAGTGCCACCATTCGGATGATGATCACCCGGGGACAGGTCCCAGAAATCCCGTTCAACCCATACGTTATGTTATGTCAGGGCCTCAGGCAACAGCTTGGGCTTAAAAACAACAACAAAATTGCGTCCAACCTTTGGATGCACTGTGACTTGGTATAAACGCGATGATTGGTTTCAGGCCCATTCTTCTTCTGATTTCCTCAATTTAAAGTTGAACTCATCTTGTTACCTCGGCAGCTACGATACTGCCGCCCTAATATGGCACGCAATTTTTTAGTATTTCAAAGCCCAACTCCGGTTGCTGGGGAAGCCGCTGTTGTCTAGCGGCTAGACGCTCGCCTGCGGATCGGAAGGTCGTGGGTTCGGGTCCTGATAGGGACCAGATTATTTTTTTTAAATGACCTATTTCCCAGGTCGACCGAGCCTTGAGTGGGTACCAGGTACAGTCCTGGAAAGTAAAGGCGACCGGCGTGATGCTGGCAACATCACACACCAAGTGCCGTTTGGTCTAAAAAATATAGGTCTAGCCCTATACACCCAATACACATGAGGGAGTGGAAAAGGGTCCTTTAGTTTAGTTTCACTTCACTCCGGTTGTTGGGAGTATGCACATGACAAGACTGTACAATCTGTTCTTTGAAAAGGCACCGAAATGGGAGCTAAGATCCATTGAACCCAAACACCCTCCACCAGCACACACACAGACACACACTATTCAGGAAGAGGCGCGACAGCCTTACATTTTGTAAGTGGGTAAGCGGCGGCCATTTCCAAAAATAGAACTTCTCTTTACACACACACAAAAAAAATGTGTTAATGCATTTTAGATTCTTTCTAACAATGTATAATATTTATTTGTTCGTTCAGCTTAATCTAGTATAAAAGCCCTAACTCTGAAATAGATTATCTTTATCCGCAATGTCGTCTCTAGTATGAACTTCACTTTATTCTGTAACGCAAACGAGCACTAAAACAACTGGGCGAGGTTGCTGAGAGGGCCTCGAGCTGGCTCTGGACACAACGAAACGTTGTGGGAGACTGGAAAAGAATGTCTTATCCCTTTAAGTCCATCGTGCCCGAATTGTCTGCCAGTGTCCCTCTGCCACATGCCAACAAAGTCCAACATGTGTTCGGTAAACCAAACGTAAGCTTGCCACTTGGTCGTCCAGGTAAGCTGACTGGTCTAACTACCGCAACGACTTCATATCTCACAGTACGTTTTGCAAAGTCACAAATTCGTCTTGTCCCTGTCCGAGAACATCCGGTAATATGTGCAGCAGGAGAAAATCAACCCTGAGCCTCATGAACTCAGGTGGGCCCACTCCCTGAAAATGTCTAGGAACTCATGGGCCGAAACATTTGTCGACAAGAGATTACTTCTACTGATGATTGGTAGACTCCTGCTGTAAATGCTCCCCTATGGAGTTTCTTCTTATTGTAATGAATTTAGCGACTCGTGAAGTTCGGCTTCAACGGGGTTTCTCTTGGGCCGACGTTAGGCCGTGGGATGCGAACTGGGGATATTTTGGGGCCAGCTCTGAAAGGGGCCATCTTGGGGTGTCGACGGCGGAGGGCCCTGAAAAGGTGATGTGCGAAAAGAAAATGGTAACAATCAGTACAAAAAGTAAAGCTTTGTACCACCACTTTCATCTTTGTTCCACGATATGCCGACGCGAAAGGCAACGAAAGATGAAATCTCTTGCAGTCCGCAATTCTATGAAATGGATTCCAGTGGCCAGAATGGACATAACTAATGCTGTATGAGAGCTCAAACATAAGGATACTGATTTACCCTTGCCTAGAATGTGAAGTCTGCGGAGCAGCGCGACCTGAGGACCATACAAGAGCCCACAGTTGCTACAACAACCAGTTCAGAACAGGAATCGACAACCTATAAATGCTAAAGCAGTGTTCTTCAAATCGTCATCCGCGGCCCACTGGTGGGTCGCAGAAAAGTTCAGCTGGGCCGGCAACAATTTGTGAATAATCATGAAGCAAGAAAAGTGCTAGATTATGTTTTTAGGAAAAGGGGTCGAGGAGGGGGTGGGGGGGGGGGGGGGATGTCCGACTTCCTATTTGTGTGACAAGACTTTCTCAATAAGTGTCTACATTTGTTCACATGATATATTAAAAGACAAACACAACTTACCATCCTGGGTTGCTTATCATTTGATTTGAGAGATTTGAACGCTTTCTTCCACATGCCTTTTATCGAAGCCGTGTGCTTGCTCTTCTCCTCGTCGGTTTCGTCATCTTCATCAATGAAACCGTTATGCTTCGGGGTCAGCATTTCAATCTGAAACGTTGGAATATATTTGATTATTCCCCGGGGCATCACTGAGACTGACGAAACATTATGAGACATAGCTGAATATTGAAATATCATGAGAAATAGCTGAATATTGAAATATCATGAGAAATAGCTGAATATTGAAATATCATGAGAAATAGCTAAATATTGAAATATCATGAGAAATAGCTAAATATTGAAATATCATGAAAAATAGCTGAATATTGAAATATCATGAGAAATAGCTAAATATTGAAATATCATGAAAAATAGCTGAATATTGAAATACCATGCGAAATAGCTGAATATTGAAATATCATGAGAAATAGCTGAACACTGAAATATCATGAGAAATAGCTGAATATTGAAATATCATGAGAAATGGCTAAATATTGAAATATCATGAGAAATAGCTGAATATTGAAATATCATGAGAAATAGCTGAATATTGAAATATCATGAGAAATAGCTGAATATTGAAATATCATGAGAAATAGCTCAACATTGAAATATTATGAGAAATAGCTGACTATTGAAATATCATAAGAAATAGCTGAATATTGAAATACCACGAGAAATAGTTGAACATTGAAATATCATGAGAAATAGCTGACTATTGAAATATCATAAGAAATAGCTGAATATTGAAAAACCATGAGAAATAGCTGAACATTGAAATATCATGAGAAATAGCTGAACATTGAAATATCATGAGAAATAGCTGAACATTGAAATATTATGAGAAATAACAGAAAGACTTGAAATATCACGGAAAAAACTGAAACATTGGAATGAAACGAGGAAAACTGAAATATTAAAATGCTATTAGAAATACTAAAACATTGAAATGCTTTGAGAAATAACTGAAACACCATGAAAAATAGCTAAGCATTGCAATACTGTGAGAAATAAATGAAATACTTGAAATTTCACGGGAAATAATTGAATGCCCTGGGTGGGTAATGTGGTCAGCATTACGCCGGTCGTCTTTACTTCCCCAGGACAGCCATCCTGGTACCCATTTTAGGCTGGGTCATCCTGCGACGCGCCATACAATGATACAAATCCATGCAGCAGGCAGTGGGTTTCGATCGCGGTAAGTTGGCATTACGACTCGCAACGTCTATGAAACGGACGTCGCAAACATTCAAATACCAATGGAAATAACTGAATCGTTGAAATACTATGACAGATAATCGTAGAAATTGAAACACCATCAGCAATAACTAAAGCATTAAAAAAAAATATATATATATATTTTAATGTTAAGATGTATTTACAACTTCAAGTGTAGTGTAGGGCAGTTTGTGAATTGGGATGTGATCCTAAGGAATCAAGACCGAATAGCCAGTACACATATACACTAACACACTAAAGGTCCTTTTTCCACGACTTTAGGCGTATAGGGCATATAGGGCTAGACCTATATTTTTATAGACCAACCGGCACAAGATGGATGATGTGGTAAGCATCACGCCGGCCGCCTTTACTTCCCAGGACTGCACACGGTACCCACTCAAGGTTGGGTCGACTTGGGAGTCAAGGTCATTTTTTTTAAATATGGCTCCGCCAGGGAGCGAACCCACGACCTTCCGATCCGCACGCGAGCGTCTAGCTGTTACGCCACGGCACACCCAATAGCCAGTACAGTCCTCACGAACTGCACAGGTACGTACATTGCTTTTTTTAAGTTTTAAACCCGAGTCTCACACTTTAAAGTCCAACTCTCTAACCTCTTTATCAATCGTTCGGTATTTATGTAATGTAAGCTAAATTGTTTCACAAACTGCGCAACTTTCTTTGTGTGAATGAGTGTGCAACTTTCTTTACGTAAAAACAAACATCTAATTTTCATTAAGCCTTAATTGCGGTAAAAAAAAAAAAAAAAAAACAGACACCGATTCAAAGCCTGTCTACAGTAACTTAAGCAAACTAAGGGAAACGTTCCAAAACATCACATTACACGTGTGTCATAGGCATTTCACTCTCATGTGACCATATACAGCAGTGTTTCCCAAAATGTTCTTAGTCGCGGCGCCTTTTTTTTTTTTTTTTTCAATTATAATTTTTCCAGGGCGCCCAAACCTAAGTAAAAGTATGACTATTCTTATGAAAGAGATTTAAAAAAAAAAACTAACGTGTATTTTCGAATATTTCACGGCGTCCACATGAAGAGGTCACAGCTTCCCAAGGCGCAGCATTGCCCAGTTTGGGAATCACTGATCTACAGCATTAGTCTCCAGTGAATTGAGTAGGAGAATAGGCTATCAAAAATATCCCTACGCATCGATAAACAGGGGACTGATTTCCAGACAATCTCCACACCTGTGTAAATAACTGTATATTCTATTTTAAAGGGGTACATAAATTATTGGTCCAAAAAAAAAGATCAAAGAAACTTGCCGCTTTGAGAAAACAGCAGCATCGGTGCAATTGTAAATTATAGAATCATAGGGACATGTGAAATCTAAGGCCACGGACACAATTTCATGTTGATACGTTGAGGGGTTTTCAGAGATATTTGACAAAGTGTAACGGCATGAGTTTTGAAGCACACTGTAAATTCTAGATTTATTTAAAACCGGACAAGTTACCGGGACTGTCCCGGTCAAAAGAACGTATGGTCATCATAAATGAGTGTCAGATTGATCTGTAAAACATATGCATGACATGGCTTACGCCCCTGATCCATTAAAAACAGTCCTTTAACCCCGCCCTCCCCTCCCTTCCCCCTTTTTTAAAATTGGGAAACGAACAACCAGACAGACTGGCTGGTTTTACATCATTAAATGGTGAAATCCCGCCTGACAGGCAAGATATGACCACAACCCTTCGGAAGCAAGAAGACGACGTAGAAGCACAAACATGTAATCTCCATCAGTAGAAAATGGTGCTCTGAGATTGACTAGGGGATGCAGCAGACTCAACACTTAGAGCAGAGGGGAGATTGATACATATTCACTCTGCTGCTAGTTCCATCGGCATTGGAACGTCCTATATACTGCTGAAGATGGGGACGGAGTGCTCATGAGAATATACCGAATGCTGCGATTTCAACTGTTAACTCAGTTCAATTCTGAAACCTCTAAAAGTTAAGGACCCTTTTCCACGTCTTCAGGCGTAGTGAGTCATCATCATCATCATCAGGTGCCTTGCCGACTAGCGTGGGCGATCATGCCTCTCCATAATCTGCGATCTCCTGCAGCATGTATCAGTTCGTGTACCAACACACCTCCATGCCATGCAACAAGACTGTCAAGCATCTTCTCTCGTTGTCTTCCTCTATCTCTCCTTCCACGTATCTTAGTGAGTGTATAACGCTAAACCTATATTTTATAGACCAATACGCTAAACCTATATTTCATAGACCAATCTCCACTCGGTGGGTGATGAGATCAATATCACGCCGTCTGCCTTTGCTTTTCAGGACTTAACCTGGTACCAATTTAAAGCTAGATCGACCAGCCCGGCTCCGCTAGGATTAAACCCACGACCTTCCGGGTGATCCGCTACAACGCGGCGGCTCTCTTAAGGCCTTTACTCCCGAAATTACTCCAGACCGTTGTTTTTACGCTGCGTCGACCTTGATCACGTTTTAAAACCTCCACCACCTGAGATTCAACGTTTCAAAATTTACTTAAAACCTCACTGTTGCAATCCAATAATTGAAAACTCGATCAATAATTCTCTGAACCAACAACATCACTATACATGGATGCCACTGGACTGTGAAATTAAGGCATCACAACAGCTTTAGAAAACAGCAGAAATAACAAATAACACAGTTCGATCGGTAATCATTCACAGAACCGCATCAGCAGTCATAACTTATGATTTAATTGACCACGTGTCACTGACTTCCTACGAGAATTGTGGCAATATGAAAATGACGTTTCATGGTCAGTAAACAGAATATATGTTGCTCGTTGTAACGTTTTTATTTGATTTCAAATGCCGTTTAGCCTAATGAAAACAGTTACTCTCCTAAAGGTTCAGGTTCAATTTTGGAGGATAAAGAATAAATCCACTGTGCCCCTAACAAGCATGTCGTAGGAGGTGAATAATTACGGCTGTTACTATCAGAGTCAGAGTGCACCAGCTTAAGAGGCAAGGAACCAGCAGTCTGTATACAGTTAAGTCAGATCTGTAAAACGAATGTGCACGCAAAATTCAAGCCTTGTCAACGTCCAGGAGTCAACGAAAAACCGGGAATTTCCAATGGAGTTTTGAGTCGGTAAACGCTAAGAAGAAGAAGAAGAAGAGGAAGAGGAAGAGGAAAGGAAGAGGAAGAAGAAGAAGAAGAAGAAGAAGAAGAAGAAGAAGAAGAAGAAGAAGAAGAAGAAGAAGAAGAAGAAGAAGAAGAAGAAGAAGAAGAAGAAGAAGAAGAAGAAGAAAAGAAAAGAGAAGAAGAAAGAAGAAGAAGAAGAGAAGAAAAGAAGAAAGAAAAAGAAGAAAGAAGAAGAAGAAGAAGAAGAAGAAGAAGAAGAAGAAGAAGAAGAAGAAGAAGAAGAAGAAGAAGAAGAAGAAGAAGAAGAAGAAGAAGAAGAAGAAGAAGAAGAAGAAGAAGAAGAAGAAGAAGAAGAAGAAGAAGAAGAAGATGAAGAAGAAGAAGAAGAAGAAGAAGAAGAAGAAGAAGAAGAAGAAGAAGAAGAAGAAGAAGAAGAAGAAGAAGAAGAAGAAGAAGAAGAAGAAGAAGAAGAAGAAGAAGAAGAAGAAGAAGAAGAAGAAGAAGAAGAAGAAAATGGGAAATTCGATGTATGTTAGCTACATAGAATATATTACAGTAAGCACATGATGTTGCAGCTGCAAGCTTTCATCAACAAAATAACTTCTTGAAATACAGTGTAACAGACAAAAAGAGGCACAGAACGAACTGATGAAGAAAATGTGGTGCATTGCACGAGATAGAAAAAAATAATAGGGTAAATAAAGGGTAAAAATGAATATTCAGAGCGAAAGAAAAATTAAAACAATCGTATTATCTTAAATTGCACTGAACA